CGAAAATAACAGCAGCAGCAGCAATAACAACAACAACAACAGCAACAACAAGAATAACAACAATCATGCTCGAGCGAACGAACCAGAAGAGAAGCTTGATCAACACCGAAAAAAAGCGTCGACAAGCCAGGAAGTTATAAAAAGTGTTCACCGTTGATGCGACGAGTCGAACGATTAATCGGTGTGAAAAGTTCTCAACAGCAACAACAGTAACAACAACAACAACAACAACAACAATAACAAGAGCAACAAGAACATCAAGAACAACATTAAACGACGATAATCGATAGAAATAAATAATCTCATATTCCTGAGAAAGTGTGATATGCAACTGCAAGCGAAATCAAAAGTGCAACGACCAATTGCAACCAGAACAACCGACGCGGCGCTGCAACGAAGCGATCTCCGTCTAAGCTTGTCACAGTCTCGTCGAATCGAAGGGATTCTCCGATAGGAACCTTCGAACGATCTCTTCGTTCGATTAAATGTTACTCGATTAATATTCCCGAATTAGTATTCGTTCCTTGTTACGCGATTAATTAATTTCAATCGATTAAATCCAACAGGATTGGATGAATTTCATTTCGGTTAAATCCGATGATCCGGTTAATGTTAATTAACTCGTATCAACAACTCGAGAAACGTATATTTTTTTCTTCCATTCGGCGATCTGTGACCCATTTCCCCCGCGATTTCTAAAGGTCCGCCGGTCTTCGTGTCGCGTGACGAGGAATGCTAATGCTTCAATGTACGCTCTCTTTGTAAATACCGCTTGTAATTTATTGTTTGCACGGAGAATAATTAACGTTGTTCCTGGGAGGAGGTTCGATTGAACAAACCTCCCAGTGAATTCTCGGAACAGGCTTCGTTTGATCGATGATCAACGGACAGTGGTTCTTTATGGAGATCAACGGGTTTCGGCATCTAATTGCGTGCACTGTTGCACTGTTGCACTGTTGCACTGTTGCAATTCTTGCTTTACACTATTATCAACCTATAATATATATATATAGCATATGCCCATGCTATATATATATAACGAATATATATATAGTTACGTTATTAAACGTCTTCAACGGAAATATCTCGACTTTCTTGTATTCCACGTATTCCTTGGAACGCTCGAAGAGCAGTCTAACTAACGATCAACGAAAGGAATTAGGTTCCCGTTTTCATATTTCTCCCGTCGGAACAGTTTTGCCGCGGTTCAAGGGTGAAAGAGAAGTCGGCTGTTTTAAACGTTTCATTGTCGTCGGGGACAAACGGTTACTTCGGTACGAATTCCCGGTGAAAGCGGCGGAAAGATAATGAATAACTCGGCCGGCGTCTGCGAGTCGAAAGCGCCGCCATTTTTTTTTCCCCTCCGCTCGCGGTTTCATTCAACATTAATTAGCGTTCCGTTGAAAGGGGTCTCTCTCCCCGGCGTTTATTTCGAAAATCCGTGGAAATTCCCCCGGAACAATTAATTATCTTCGACTCGGCCGCGATTATCGGCCGAGTTAATCGCTTCCACGCTGGAAACCATTAACGCCCGGAAGGTTTCGCGTCTGAAATGCGAATAACAACTCCCGTTCCGGTTCCCGTGCGAGTTTCTAATGGAAATCATTGTTTTTCTTCTCGCGCGATACCGCGTTTGTATTTTGTATCGTGCAGGAGCGACCGTAAGAATTCTAATAGAAGTTGTAACAGCGGCAATTATAGTATTACAAGTGTAACAGCGAACAGAAATAACGATAAATGCAAGGTTGAGCTTTTATCAGGGAAATTCCGCTCGAGGCTGTCATTTGGAAGTAATTGTTCGTCGTTTTCGAGTTTAATGGGAGGTTCGTGTGAATTTTTGTCGCGAGTATACACAAGATGGCATCGTGCACTTTCTCCCTGAGACATTATCGACCTTGCGGACGCGTAACGAGCTACTCTGCGCTTGAAACATAAATACGGAGCATCTAACAGGCCTCTGTTGCACATGTTGCACTTGTGCATTCAGATTCAACGTGAAACGGAGGCCTGAAACTCAATTTCCAATACGCGTCGAAGGGTTATCTAGTGGACAGCTGTTAATGAATCTTTCAAAGGTTGATTATCTTCCGATAAAGACCGATTTAATCAGCTTTTCGGAGCGATGCGTGTCGAGTGGTCTCATAGATTGCAAATTTAACAGATTGTGATCTCAATGTTGAACGTTCCTGTTATAATTGAACGTTTCCATTTGCTAACGGAAACTTCTGTTACCATTGAAATTCGTTATTGCTACCGAAAACGTCGATTACCATTGAACAATTCTATAAATCAAAATTCCTATTAGCACCGAACAATTCTACTGCAACGAAAAATTTCTATCGCTAGTAAAACCTGCTGTCGTAATCAAAAATGTCCATTGCAACTGAATATTTTCATTCCCATTCAAACGTCGATCAACAGATTCTCACGAATCAATTCATAATCTCCACGAAACAGTTCAACTGCCAGCAAGCAAGCGTCCACGTCGAACGAGCGAAAAGTTTCACGAGCAAAGCGACGATTCCGCGGAAGACCAGTAGAAATCGAGAGGCGAATGGCGACGGAAGCGCGGGAGACGTTGAACGTAAGAAAAGCAACGGCGGAAAGCGTGCCTTAACGTTTCGCACGGTTTGTCGAGCCTTTCAGCGAGGAACAGCCCGTGAAATTCAAATATCCCGTGATTTATTCGGTAAGGCGACGAGTTTCGGCTGGCGAGAAATATTTCTGGCGACCCCTGTTGCGTCGCCGTCGATAAATTCGCGCGGAATTCGACGGTAGGAAAACAAACGTGGGTTTGCTAGTCAATTTTCTCATCTACAGCTTCCTCCCGGCCTAATCAAACACGTCCCGCCCCGTTCGAGTGACTCACCCTGTACACACAACCGGACGTTAAGTGATAGGACACCCGGTTGTTGGGAGAAACCGCAAACAACGCTGGAGACGCGAGTTTGCGGAAGCAATCGCGTTCGATTGCTTCACTTTCACGGGGCTCGCTGATTCTATGTGGGTTGCTGTGCAAACACGCGAACTTCCATTTCAATGTGTACAATAAACATGGAATTGGAAATGTTTTTTATACCGTACGGCGGGAAATCTTCGATTTTTCCTTTCTACGTTTACACGTTCCTACTTCTCGCTCGCCTGCGTTCAAGAAGATTTCCTTCTAACGTGTTCGCATTCGCTCACGGTGAACCGACCAGCCGAAACTTGGATGAAACGCAAACTAAACTCGATCCATAACACGAATCTCTGTCACTAGAACCACCGAGTAATTAGACTCGCTCGGAATTCCTACGAATTACAACGGTAATTTTACAATTATGACACTCTATACAATTTCGTGTCGTACTTTATAGTAATTCTAAAATAAACGTGATTCGCGGGGCAGTTCCAGTGTTGGTCGTTGAAAGAGAGGGTGCACGGTGTACAGGCAACGTCCTCGGTGAAGGGTTGAACCCGTGCAGCGTCAGGTTGCGGTTGGGCTGCGCGACCGTCCGTTGCAGCGAACCTGGCACTCTCCTCTTAGTGGTCAGATCCAAAGGCGCACACCTGATTGGCCGAGGCGCTGACGCCCGCCAATCGGGTCGCGCGTGGAGCCGTTCCCGAGCTCGCGATTGGATCTCTCGGAGCGACTGTCGACGCCCCGTCTCGCCCCGTCGCACGACGAGTGCCAGGTTCCCAGCAACTGACAGTAAAAGCGAAGAGACATTAGGGAAAAAAAAGAATTCGAATGAGCCGTGGCCTCCTCCTACCTCGATACGGCGACATGCCAATAGGAGCGAGTTTCATGGTACTCTTTTTCTCTCTCTCGCTCGCCGACACACGCACGCACACGCTCTTTCTCTCTCTTTCTTCCTTTCTGTTCATACATACGTTACCTTCAGGTCTCAAGAAATCATAAAAGCGGATGGTTTACCGATGGGTCTCGGACGTTTGCAAACGTGAACAATACGGAATAAAGTAGACTCGATGGTGCACCAGGGTTGCTCGGGAAATCCAAAATGGACGACGAAACTCTCGACGGATTCGCGAACCATTAGCGGATTCGAGTAATTTATAAAATATGCGGCTTAACGTATCAACGGGTTTCGCGAAATTTCACGGATCTTCGGGTTTGCAAGTTTCACAGAAGCTGACAGATTTTATTTCACGAATCTCGCGCCGAGTTGCAAACAGTCGGAACAGTTCGTTGCTGTTTGCTACTTACCCGCCGCTCGAATCGTTATTCGATCGTTACAATGAATTATCGGGGAAAGATTGAAGTTACGCGTTTATATCAGAAAATTACTTAAGTCACGCTGTATACAATGGACGAGTCAACGAGCAGTTTGCTTCGTTCCAAGCGAATCGGTTCTTTTCCATTTTCACGCGGATTTATCGAACAGCCCTCGTGCAATCATGATACTTAGCGTATGTGGATGCGTGTGCGAACGTTAAAACAAGTTACAGTGGGATCTCGGTATAACGGAGATACATCCAATGTACAGACAAATATTTCATTCCTCGAACAACTGTCCGATGAGACAAAGAAAATAAAGAAAAAGAGATCCACGTTGAAAATCTATTAACCGAATGAGACACGCAATTAAAGAAACCTGAGATCAACAACGAATTCATTGACGACAGCTCCATAACTTAAGCTACCGCGATTAGAATAAACGGATTGATTCATAGAGCAAATTAATGATTATTCTTTCAGAACCGAGACTCCACTGCACATTGTTCACATAACGTATATATTAATGTACACTATCATATAACAGTAGAAGGATTAAGAAAAGCCCTCGAGAAGATACGTGAGAAAAAAGTGTATATTACTTTCCATTTTCATATATATATTTTTTTCTCTGTCCATATTTCTTTTTTCCTATGTCTGTATATTCCATCGATACATATATATTGACATACACATCGATACATCAATATACATATATACGTACGAGAATTCCGTCGGACGTATTTGTTTTCTTTTGCAATGTTTTCTCTTTGTTTTTAGGTACCTGAAACACCGTCACAATAGCCCAGAGTAACGAGTCAAAGTTTTTTCTATCACACTCGACGTCAGAGCTGCCTTTCATCGTTTCACAGAATTTGCAACCAAACAGGTTCATCCCGAGAATACTACAACACAACGAAACGTGCAATGTACTTCCTTATCCGTAAATATATAGAATAGATAGATAGATAGGTGTAGATATAGATAAAATAGGTAGATAGACAGGTGAACGAGAGACAGATAGCCGAGGGTCGAAGGTTAGGCGCACAGCAGAACACGCGCGTGGGAAAGGAGGGTTGTCCTCGCGAGGGGCGCGACACGATTTTTCAGAGACACCTGTGTTAATTCAACGCTTACCAAATTAACCTCGCGCGATTTATGCTCGTCAATGCTCTCGCGACTGAAACGGACTATTTCCAACTCTTCGTCTATCGAGGGTTCTTTGATCCGTTCGAAAGCAGTTTTCCCCGATCGGACGCGTTCTTTTCGATTGTCGATCGAAATCACTTCGCGGCGAGTCTACAGATTAATACGTGTCCCTTGCATTCTCCGGGATCGTTATTCCAGCCTTTCCATTCTCGTGACTGGCAAAGCGTTAACAAACGTTGGAACAATCGAGCGTAGAGTTGACGCACAGTCGGCGAATCGAAGAATCCGGTGGCGCGCGATGGGAATGACATTTCCGTGGTCGAAAATCAATTCCTCGGAATTCTCGGGAAAAACCGGATACAATCTCTGGAAGAACCCCAGTGTAAGAGTAAAATCTAACGATCCTTGATTATCGTCATTAACCCTTCGCGAGATTTCCTTCTCTTTGGAATTACCGAAGAATCATTGCTCGTAGAGTTACGAAAGAATTATTCCGTTTTTCCTTTACGAAACTGCCAAAGACCTGTTTCCTCTGGAATCGCGAACGTTATTCTCTGTTTTCATCGCGGAACCGCCAGAGAGCTGAGAGAACGACATTCCGTTGCTACTAAAAGAATCAGCTGCTCCCCGTTTATCGAACCGCGACGGAGTTTCGACCACTAAACCCGCGATCTTGGCCGCTGCGCGTACGTACGTGCCTCTGCCGCCGTTTTGAATAAAACAGTCCCGCGGTATCGATTCCATTCCGGGCGAAACGGTTTCGCGTAATCGAGTTCCGTTCCCCGGTCAATATGACTTTCTCTCGCGCGGTGCATATCGAAGCGAGAACTTCGTTGCCGAAACTCCTCCCCGCGCGGATACCGATTTTCCCTCGTCGCCCTCGAATTCGAGCGCTTTCGTTTCCGCGTCCGGCCTTTCGGACGAGAAGAATCAGCGAGACTATCGAGACGACCGATGACCCTGTACTCCGGTTTTCTGAACTGATCTCCCTCGAAGTGTTCGTTTCCGTGAGAACGATCAATGGAAGAAGCAGAATTTCTAATTAGCGTTTCCATCCCCTGCGCATGAGCATCTGAACTCGAATGTGTTCGGTTGTCTCGCGAGCGATCGTGGTCGTGTTTCATTTCGGACAGTCGGCGATAGCGATAGCGATGATAATAACTCGAGCAACGAGAAATTCGATCGCGTTGCTCGCAGGACGACCGATTGGTCGCTAACAGTGTTAAGCAGAGATTCGCTGACGATCGACGATCGCTTCGATCGAATGCGGTTAACCACTGCAATTTGAATCGTTAACCGGTCGAACTACGTACAGTCGTTTCAATATTGTTACTTTTGTGTTACCGTTCTCGGTGGGATCGATTCGATTACGTTTTCCTCTGGTCGATCACGAAGTAATCTGATTCGTCTGACGATTAGTCGTTAACACTAGGACTACCGAGCATTTAATACGATTAACATGTAATCCCTATAAAAATTGTAATAATCGATCATTATCAATTTCTTCAGACGTTCGTTATAGTGTTCAAGTGAAACTATTTACTTTCAAGGTCATTTCGAATGTTCAATGCTTTTAAGATGTCTATAATTACGAAATAAAAACGTTGAAACCAGTCATTTTGACTGTTACGTAGTTCTGGTGTTAAAGGATCTGATCGATTCGGTGAGTTCTCGAGATCGACTGTGATCGACCAGGTGATTTACACAAGAGAACGTAGCCAAGTTAAACGAGAATTTCCAGTAATCAATGCCGAACACTGGCTGACCAAGCCGAAGGAAAAAAACGGGAAAGAACCGAGAAACGAAACTGATCGAAATGAGAGAACGGTCTCCCGTGGCGTCTGGCGGTGACCCCGGTATAGCGAGAGGCCTGGCGCGCAGCATGGTCAAGAGAACCGAGGGCTGTGTAGGGTACATAACCGTTCATCATTCGCAAGCTGACTAAATATCGAGACGAGGCCACACCGAGGCGCACGCACTTTGTAGGCACTTCGAACGAACAAAATGAAAATACCAGAAAACCAAAGGAGAAAACGACCGGTGACAGTATAATAAATCACCGCCGCCTGTTCCCATGGAATTCACCGACGGATTCGAGCGTCCCGAAACAGCGCGAGTCCACTTTCCGACGTTACCTTCGTTAATTATCAAACTGTTCTATCAGACGTATTCGATTCGCGTGCATCAAACGAAATTTCACCTGATAGATTCTCGTTTCGTGGATCGCCTCGATAAGTATTCGAATTTCTTCGATCGTTCGATATATTTTCAATGATTGAGAATTAAAGGAAAGATCGATCGACTCGCGCTGTTTCGGAATTCAGCTTCGAACGTTCGACGTTCCACGTTCTAAGAAGCTTCCTCCGGTAATCGTCGGTTTCGTGGAGAATTCTATGCGCAGGGGCGAGAATCGATTTAACACGTCGATCTCTGTAGTCGTTGATCCGATGGGAACAGTCGTTTAATACACCGTCACCAGAAGAAAGAACAGAAGATAAGTAGAGGTAGAAACGGAAGTAAAGGAAACAGTACACAGCTAGAAGATAGTAGAACGGAAGAAGACTGGTAGCGACAGCGACAGAAGAGACGAGTATACACGTAATAAATCGACAGGTAAATAGGTACAGGTTGTATATGCATATACGTATATACATACGTAATATATATATATATATATATATATATAGACATATATATACACATACAGCCGTGACGCTTCGTCGCTAGATAAAGAAGCAATCATGCAAACACGTGAGAAGAGACAATCCTCCTGTATATACGTATACGTATACATATATATGTATATATACCATATACTCGAATTTCTCGGACAAAAAGAAAAGATAAAAAAAAAGAGAACAGACCAGAGGAGTATCATATATATGTATATAAAGAGCAAAAGGTGGTGTTCGCTAAAGAACAAACGAGAAACGTAAGAACGGTCAAAAGTAATGAACACGTTCGATGCCTCAAGCCATGAGAAAGGGCCAACAAGACATCCCTCGTAGACACGTGCCAGCAAAACACCCATATATGTGTATATATATATACATATATATACATCGGCCATTACCATTGAACAACGTCAGAGAACGCTGCCGATGAACACGCTCATAACTCGAATACCAAATGAACGAACAAATCGCAGAATGACAAGAAAAAAAGAAACAAACAAATATGAGAAACAATAGGTATACAAGGTCCGACAGCGCGGCCGTGCGCGGTGGTCGGTCCGAACCGATACGACCGATCGGTGGGCCCAGTGTCGCCGGATTGGGACTTGACGAATTCACCCTTTTACGAATCGAGTACTTCTACGTGTTAATTAGTCGATAAGAAATCAGAAACTTTATCGCAGACCGGTGTAGATGTTTACTTAAAAGTAGTTGGCAGTTCGTTAACCCTTTGAACTCTGTAGGCTCCAATATTGCACCAGTTGTAATATTAAATATTTTAATCAGTCTTAAAGAAGCTACCCTAAAATTATTCGATTTTCACATCCAAATTTTCTAAGAAGGAAAATAAAAGATCGGAGATATGTTACAGCATTTCTCATTTTCGCTAGGAACACTATAAAAATTAGTTGCAGTTGCTGATAGGTTACAAGACAACCTGGAGTGCTAAGGGTTAAAGTACGCGTCGCGTGATTGATAGATTCAAAGTGAACGGCAGAGGTGTTAAACGTTTCCTGTCGTTAGACGAGAACTATGAGTAAACACGAATCACGAGTGAGATTCCCCGTATCCGGCAGGACTGGTCTCGGCGTTCCGGTTTGAACGGGCCACCCGGTGCGCGGCTGGCTGCCGCGACTCGGTCGCCGATGCGAAAAGAAAACGACAGCGACGATGCATAACCACGCGTCATACGATCCAAATACCGTGAGACAAGATGGCGAAGCGCATAAACAAGAGAAAAAAGAACAGGGAGTATATCGAGGCGGAATAGACGTGGTCGCCTGGCGATGACGATGCGCGGCTCGATGGGGTTCGGGGAGCGATGATCGCGCGACTGAGGCTCGGTTGCACGGGGAACCCGTTTCCCGGTTACAGATGCTGGGGCCGGAAGGTCCTCGACGAGGATCGATCGTTCTCGTCAGAGCTCGATCGCTCGGGAGAATCCGAGGGCCGAACCTTTTAGCTACCGACTTCTATTCGACTGCGGTCGATGAATGCACTGTCACCTGTGGCTAGCAGAATATTCCATTATTTCATTCACTTGGGGTAGATGGTGGTTTGTATACCGGCAGAGAGAAGATTGAGAGAGGACGATGTAGGCGGAAGCTACTGTATGTCATAGTGTACAGTAGTATAATGACCTGTAGCTAAAGGCAGCTTCTATAGTCGCTTGGACACTCTCCGAGAACGATTCTACAAGAGGACAGATGATTAGGGAAGAGTTTACAGGCTGTAGGATAGTAGTAGTGGTAGTAGCCACAGTATAATGACCGACAGAGTAGCTGAAAAGTTGAAGAATCGAGGACGAGAACGTCGATCGACGGAGGAACCCGAACTCCCGGAGCTGCGTCGGCGATCATGCGAGATGCACGTTAGAGGCTGATGGGATTGGTGGTGCTGGTTGACCGTCCGACACCCGACAGCTGGCCCGCGACGCCGGTTTGGGAACGGGCCCACGACTCGGTACCTGGTGAACGACGCGAGCAGGAAACCGCGGCGATCCCTGGCTCCCGGATCGATCGGTAACCGGCGGGTAGCGGATCGCGAGAATTCGGAGAGGCGACGGTTGCTCCCGATCACCGGACGGGAACGGGCTGGGCCACTTACCTGAATATAAAGATGAATAGTACTAAAAGGGAAAAGAATACGGCAACGTTATCCATGGTGCGCAGCATCACGAACAGCTGGCGGCGCAGGTTCGGCAGGAACCGCACCAGCTTCAGGATCCTCAGCAGCCGGAACGTCCGCAACACGCTCAGCCCGGAGCTGCCGCTTCTCTCCTCGACGAACGCCTGGCAGATCTCTACGACACTGATCGGTAAAACTTTGTAGTCGCTTGGACACTCTTAGGGGATGCTTCCTACGAGAGGATCGACGATCATGGCTAAACACAGCTGTCAACTGATCGTTGAACCTCTGTAGTCGCTCGGACACTCGTAGAGGATGACGCTCTACAAGAGGACTGACGATCACAGAGCCAAACAATTGTACAGACACGAGGCCTGGACGCTTCACGGACGTACCTAAGCACGACGACAACCCCGTCGAAGACGTTGAATCCGTTGCTGATGTAGCCGAACGGGCCCTCCGCTATTATCTTGAGTAACATTTCCACGGCGAAAACGGCCGAAAACACAATATTGCTTATTTCAACCACTACGGTTAATTGCTCTGGCTGTCGACCGACGAACAGAAAAAGAACACCACGTTCGGTGCGTGCGTTTCGAAACGTAGCGTGTCGTCTACTCCATCTACCGTGTAAATGAGTAACGTTCGTGGGCCGAGTCACCGGAAGCAGAAGGTAGCAGCGGATTCTATTCTCTAGTTAAGACGCGCCAGCCAGCCAAGCCGAGTCGCAGGGGCGACGAGCATCGACGCGACAGTGTCCGGAACCCCGAGGCAACGGAGTAACCATCGGCAGTCGCCCTGGCGATTTCTCAGCTTGCAGACAGCGCGGCGACGCGTCCGACGTCGAGAACAGTCGTCCATTCCCGATTCCGGCGATACAAGCACGGGCGTTCCACTTTCGCTGACTCAGCCCGTCTACTAATTCCAGGCGCCCCGTGACTCGTGGCACAATCGAGAGAATTTCCGTTGAGGAAGCAATTTTCCCTGGCGAATCGAATTTTCGCACGACGAGGAAAGCGATGGCAAGGCTGTCGGGGACTCTGGCTCTACTTGGCTCCTTTGAGGGACGCGAGAGCCTCGATTCTGCCAACAATCACGGGACACCGGGTACATATCGTGTTTCGTCTGCGGGAAGGGGCACACTGACCTGATTATGGTACTCTATGCCCATGCTCAGTGTATTGATCAAAATTGCCACTAAAATACCCTGTTGAAAGTATTTGTGCTCGACCAGCTTCTTGATCGACCGCCTTATGCACCGTACCACGCACACGCAGCAGCCGCCGCAAGTTCTCAGGAGCCTTCTCGCCCGCGACGATCTCGGCCATTTGTCGGCCTCGTCCGGCCATTGGTCGCCGGTGGCCTGCAGCTCGCAGCAACAGGAGCAATTATCGATGTCCGATGTCAGCCACTGCGCGCGATCCTCCAGCGTAATATGTCGATCCCTTATGCCTGCGGGGAATATCGTGCGCGTTCAGTGGCGCTCGAAAGTTCATTGTTATCTCGTTCTTTCGAGTATCCTCTCGTGCACGATGTGTTCTTTAGTTTTTAAAGGCTCTTTCACGAAACGCGGATCACGTTTGCTGAAACTATTTCGATGGTAATTCGTATGGAAATTGAGGAACGACGTTGTCGCGGTATTCCATGGGGCGATGCATCGTGCAAAGTTTGATATTAACACTTTGCCGGCCGTTCATTTCTCGCATCTCGCAACGCAAGTTCTACTACTCGCCAACGGTGGTATTTACGCAATTGTTCGCAACATAGTCAGTCGCAATATAATTATTATTAACGAAGGCATTAAGAAAATAAGTCACGCGAGCGTGACAGCGGCTGGCAATGTGTTAAGTATCGAAACATCAAAATACTAAATTAACGTGAAACATTCGAGTTCGGAAGTTTGCCGCGAACGGTTAAGCTTCGAGTGATGCATCAATATCCGTGGCACGTTCAAGTACAACAGCTTCGTCTCTTAATTTGCCTAGTCCCAAAGAAACAGTGGATATATCTAGCGCAAACTCGGCCGACGCAAGGGGTCGAAACGATTACAATCGATCAGGTGATCACCGACGAGCTTAGACCTAGAACGAGGCTACCGCCTCCTGGCAAGTTGGCGTACCTTTGGTGAGCGAGTTCAGGAAGGAGTCCAGTGCCAGCTGGCCCGTGGGCAACGCGGCGCTCAGCGCACCGCCCAGCGCCAGTAACTCTTGACAGGTCATCGCCTCGCTTCTACTTAGTTCCGCCTGCAACTGCGGCGACACGTGCACATGATATATATCATCGCAAATGCAACGGGCACGTTTCATGGAAACCGCTATAGCGGCCCGTGAATTAGGAGACACGGCGCGGACAGGGCATCACGTGTCCCAACAGGTGTTCGTCATCCAATGTAAATTCGGTATACAATCAAATGAATCATTGAGAACCTAGAAACCTCCCATTGGACCCATTTCAATATTTACATTTGTTCTCTCTTTGATCGTCAAAGTTAACCAGCTACTGTCAATGTATTCCACTAACGAATGAAATAGAACAGAATGATAATATAAACGACAATAATGGTAATAATCGAATATAAACCTGTGTAGTTAATTCATAAACGTTCCGACTAATGTCCAACCGTCTCCAGTTTCTTTTGCAATAGAAAAACCACTCGAAAAACGTACGGGAACACGGATCGGCATACGAAACGCGAGTGCCGTGCACGCGAGGGATGACGGTGGGGGGAATGACCTTGGGCAAACGATTGATCCCGGCGCGCACCGTAGTCAGTGGAGTGTACCTGTATGGGGTCAGCCAGCGGACTCGACCAAACGTTCCCGTCGCCTGTCTGCGTCATTTTCTCGCTGGAGCACACGTTACGCTCGCCGGGGGACACCGTCGAGCTCGGCTGCAGCGCGTTCCCTACGTTGTTGTTGCTGCCGTGCAACAGCACCACGTCATTGAACATCACGCTGCTTCGCCGTCGGTAATGCATACACGGTGGACTGAGCAGCGCGTTGTTCGTCTGGAACAGCACCACCCGAAAAACGAACCGTCAGAGCGTGTTACAGCGTTTGACATTTTGTACAGTTACAATGTACAATATGAAATTCTCCGTGGAACTTCGTCGGAATAGAATAAGAGAATTGAAATCGAATAATCAGCGTGGAGTGAAATGGAAAGCTTTGAAAATACGTAGCTTCGTCTTTGGGAAACATTGACATTCGTTGAACAGTCTATTCACAGTGAGAATATCTGTCGAGTGTACAGAGTTTAAGTATCCACTCCGTACACTCGACTCATATCTTGAACACTAGAAGCAGTGAGATTAGCGATTCCGAGTGTTCCCATAGAAACTCCAGGAGCGTCATTCACTTTCCATGTTACTAAATCAATTTCTATATCCATTCCTTGAAGAAGCACCTTCCCAACAATTTTCAAGCAACTTTGGGAACGTGTCTCGTTTCACGGTATTCAGTGGTTCTATCGTTAAACATGAAAACGTTCCATCTGGACACCTGTATGCTAGCTTCGGTGGCATTCGACAGGATGTTATCGCTGCTGTTGCAGGACACAGACGACGTCCGATGGATGCCCAAACGATTGCACACGTTCGACGAGATATCGGCTTCAGAAACCTCAGGGCTGGCGCGTGGAGCAATTGCCAGATTCCCGTTGCTGCCTCCGTTGCTGGCGACAGCGTTCCCGAGGATCGCTGGCTGCGTCGGTGGGCTGTTGCCAGTGAAATCTGTCAACGAGCCACCGCCACTGCCTATTCCCTGCTGCTGCTGCTGCTGCTGATGCTCCGCGTACTCTAACGCTGCTAGCAACCGAGGACACCTTCCGTGATGGAATCTTCTGTCTGCAATGTCGAACAAATGATTTTTAAAGGTTCTCAGCAGTGTTTCGCGGAGTAGTTGTCGTCATCCTAGGAGCCTGGTGTTTATCGGTCTACCGCGAAATCGGAGAAGACTTTTCTGCTGGAGTTACAGCTTTGACGGGGGATTCAATGCGCCATCTTTCGCCAGAAGGCAAATGCAACTGTTGGAAAGGATTCAACAGAGAGATCAGCTGCTTCGTCGAGTATTTGCGGATAAACTTCGACCCCTTGAACTATGATATTATCCTGGACCCGTAATAGGGATGCTAAAATGTCTCCGATTAATCTTCAATCTGTTCAAGCTGAAATGTTTCAGATTAATCCGCAGTTCTTTCAAATTAATCTTCGGATTTGAAGACGTTCGGTTCTTCTGAATGTAAACGAAATGTCTGGTGAGTCGGGTGCCATCAACAGATACAATAAATCATCTAGTCGGAACAAGATAAATGAAACAACTGGAAAATAACTGCTCGCTTACCTCCGGGCAATCTATTCGACGCGGAGCCGGCCGGGGTTCCCCGAAACGGATGTCCTTGCTGTTGCTGTTCCTTCAGTAAATTCTGCTCCCGTTTCTGCTGTCTTTTGTACAAATACAGTCGGTACCTCTTCATCAGCCTCCTCTTGCCCCTGCGCCACAGGTGCGCGATGTACCTGGGGACCACGAGGTTCCAGTTCGCAAAAGATCAACAGCTCTAAAATATTTCTAACGATCCTCCGTTCTCTGATCTCGCTTTTCATTCGAACAATCGACCCTTCGAGGCCTTTCCGAGACATTCGAAACCTCCGAAGGAAGCTAAATTGCACATTGGATTCTTAAAAGCTACAATAAGAAGAAACCTCGCAGGATTTTTTGCTGGATGCACGCATAAAATCTTTACTACGGCCAATATCGTCCTGGAACGGTTAAACAGTTCGCTCTGATTAAAGGAAATCCCGACGTTGATAGTTTGACCCGAATTTCCCGAGATTCTCGTGCGCCGAGGACCATTTTAAAAATATACCCCGACCCGGTTCCAGGAGGATTCCTTAAACTTCTCGTCGCCCGCTGGTTCGGTCGCCAAAAATGCTTCGACCGAACAAGGTAAACACATAAATCGCGATCGTGCCAGCGGGACGCGTAGATACACACGTGAATCGCGCGCGCGTTCGTTGCCAGGAGAGCATAAAAATAAGCCGGGGGGAATCGATATCTTACTAAAATTATGCCGTTCCATTGACGGGGAATCGCGCAATTTTTAGATATCTTCGCTTCTATCTTTTCGCCTGTGCACACCGCGTTTACCACGGTCGCCGTTGCGACACCAATTTCCCCTGCGTGCACCGTGCTCAACCGTTTCCGCTCGGGTTCCTCGATTAACGTTCCATTCGACGCGCGTCGGACGGTCGTCGAGTCGCTGGAGCATTCAGAATGCTCTTCTAATGTTCTCGCTTTTGTGCAACGTTGACGAGACGATTCGATGAGAAGTTCCGCGTAACGTCGAAATTCGGCGGTACAGTCGAGTCACAACGTTACACGCGAGATCGCATTAACTTCGACGTTTCCATGGGATTATCGCTGTTTTCTGTAATGCTGACGCGACACGGTATATCACTGAATACTTGAGTTCGCCAGCGTCTTCGATCACCTCGTCAGCAACGATCCTAACGGCGCAGTTCGCGGTACGCGTCGGAAGTTGTCGGGAATTCCGAAAATAATCTCATTGCCGAATGGTGCTTGAAATCCATATAAATAACGAGAAACCATGCTCCGCGACTACCGAATTAACCCCTTGCCTCGTAACGACGTGTCAGAGTCACGATGATTCTGAACAGAAGCAAACAATCGTAAAGATCGCTCGATTCTGGTTAATTCTCTTCTGGTTTCGAGAAGAATGCCTATTCGGAATATTAATGAGAGAACAGTTGTATCGATGAAGAAAACAGACGGCGAGGGGTTAAACGAAAATATTCTCGGCACGCACGATTTCGCGCGGAAGCCTTGAAGCGATTCGTTGGGAAAAATTGAGGAAGGAATTCTCCCGCGTTACTCACTTAACGATTTCCGCGTAACACGTGGTCGGCTCGGATGTGTTCGTCGAGGACGCGAGGGTGGATGTAGAATGGAACCGAGCCCGCTCCAATCGCATTCTTTCCATCTCCCTCTTCTTCGTTTCCGAGAACTGCGTCGCTATCACGACCAAGCACAGATTAATCATGAAGAACGAGCCGATCTGCGAATCAAATATCGAGAACGTTCAATGCGAGCGAGCAAACGAGTGATCCTAAAAATTAGACGAATAAAAAGGAGAAGCGCATTTCTCTGTTTATTATACTTGAATTTATTATACTTGGTCTATCAAGTATCGAATTCAAGTTTATTTAAACGTTGTATCTCTATAGTTTGTACAACTAGTCGCATGGCAGTTACAGCGTCAAGTATTCGAACGTACCACGATCAAAAGGACGAAATAAATCCAATCCCAGAACGAATGAGCGTCTTGCACGTAGTACATTATGTCCGTCCATCCCTCGAGACTAATTACCTACAACAATGATTATTATATAGAAAAAGTTGTGTTATTTCAATAGAAGAAACGTCATTATCTCGATAAGAGAAACCGACCGGTTTCAATCGCGAGAACCGAACTGTTCCACCGAATTCTCTCAATCTTCGGGAACATTCTATTTATTATCCGCGATCTACGCTCGGCGAAAAAACGGAGGAAAAAGGGGAAAAATACCGATAACAAAGTGGCACGCTCGACAAGTCGAAAAACAGATTTTTGGCAAAACGCTCGGGAAAGTTGGGAGAGCCATCCGAAAATTTGGCTGGCGCGGAACGTTCGATCGGCGAACGCGACGGGGAGAAGTAGGACAACACTCACAAGAAATATTGCGACCCAGGCGAGACCGATATTATCGAACGATATCGTTCCCTGGAAAGGATTGTTACCCTGACCCTTGCACTCCGTGTAATAGTAATTCCAATTAACGCAGGTCTCGTTGCTGATGAACGTTGCGTTATTGTTCGGCAACGCGGTGTTGTTGCAGATCACGTTTCCTAAAAACCGAGGACACAGCTAGAGCATTTTCCGCGATATCGAGAGACGACGCGCAGTGCGGCTTCTACGGCGCCGTTTTCTCAACGGAACTCGAAAACTCGAGAAGTATCGAGAAGCATAGAGTGGATTCGAACTTTCATGATAGCTCGGCAACTGGGGAACCTGTGGATTTTCTGATTTCCCTGGGATTTCTCTGTTGCGAATCGACACCATCGGGAATATTATTATTATTCTCACTATCGCAATTACTATGGACAAAAAAAGCATTACTATCACTTTTTCAGACAAACGTTTCTCCTCGAGAGTCGACTTTTATCGATGCGAAACTGAAATATGATAAATTATTGTACGGAATATAATAAACATTCATTCGCGATAATACCTCATAAATAACCCAGTTGCCAAGCCAACATGTCAACGTCAACCCGTTGCCATATGATTTCTTTCTCGACTAAGCTGAACTTATTAATTTTGAAAAGTCGAGGAATATTTCATTCGTTACGTGTTAATTGCGAAGAGGAAATATTCGAAGTAATCTTTACACGTCAAAATATCAAAATATCAAGGTAATAAAATATTCTAATATAAAATATTCAAATAGTCTTTCATTCGAAACATTTCTCGTGGTCACAGGGCAAGGGGTTAAACAGCAGAAGCAGAGCCAGAAACAGAAGCAGAAGCAAAAGTAAAAGCAAGAGAGAAACGGGGGAAAATGTACATTCCATTGTCAAAGAAACGCAAGTCGCACTCACCGAACTTGAGCGGCGGCAAGTTACTGCAAGAGTGCATTCCGTTGTCGTCGGGCCGCGAGCAAATGTAGTCCTGACCCTGATACTCGAAGTACTTCTCGAGATCGCTGGAAACACCAATGGGCCACGATTAATATCGCTTTGAAAAAAATATCGAACACCGCGTTCGACGTCCGCCTTTCGCCCATATACATATATACAATAGGTATATATCTATATGCGTATCGTTCCTTACAATTAAGTGGTTGTATATATATATGTATTCATGTATATGCTTTATGCACGGATGCACCGGTCTCATGCTACGTTTTATGCGTACACCGTGTATATATGCTGCCGTGTGTGTATCATACGCTATCCCCGCGACCTATGACACGGACGTATACAACGCGAGCCGCGTGAATCGTGACGATCCAGTGCAGACAGGCGCGACCGTAGAAATTGCATCGATTGGTACACCCTCTCGAAAGCCACAGAGCAATTATTCTCTAATTTTCTTATATAATCTATAATTCGATTAATTTACACATTCTATCTACACAGGTTCCAACGTTCTAACGTCTGTTCCGTTACAGTACAATTCTCATCAAATTCGCAGCATCATTTTAGAAGAAAATTCTCGGTAAATTACGAGAAGCATACCGTAACGCTATTACGCGCTCGAAACGAGCGATAAAATGTCGACTCTCCGACTCGCGTTGTTCGACGGGTTAAAGGGTGAAATTATCGAAAATCCAGGCCGTCGCGTGGAATAATAAAATTTCGCTTTCGAACAGCGCGATGCAATTTCGCCGGGCGATATCGGGAAACCGAGGGTTCCGTGTGCAACGCGCGCGGCTCTCGCTTTGTAGAGCGTCCCGTGACCCGGCTGCACCGAATGAAAATGCCGAATAAAATTTGCTC